TCCTGGGTCTGTGCTGAGGGAGCCCTGCCCAGCCCGTTAGCAGTCAGGCCTGCAGTCAGGCAGGCGGCGCAGCCAGGAGCACACTCAGCCCCTCACCTCTGGCTCACGTGGCCAGTTCCTGGCTGGGACCCCGGTCTGGGCAGGAGGAGGGGAGGAGTGCCACTCACCGGCCTGGGCCCTCGGCGCTGCAGGATCCCTAGCGTGTTCTCCAGCAGGAAGAGCAGGAAGAGACCGCCCAGGACCGACAGCCCTGGAGCCAGGTCCTCCTCTGGCTGCCCGCTGTGCCCGGAGTGATGCCCTCCTTGTGCCTGCCAGAGAGGAGGTCAGGACGACCCCAGAAACCCCTGCACCCGACCACCCCCTCCTGGGTGTGAGGTGGCAAGCCTTCCCTCCCCTTCCACCCGAAGGCAGCGTGGGCTGACGGGCGGGGTGTCCTGTGACTGGGAACACTGGGATAGGAGGGGCTGTCCACGTGGGGCAGGGGAACTCGGAAGGGGACCCACGTACATGTGGCAGCAGGTGTAGCAGTGCGTCCCCACAGAGGGTGCCCACGGCCAGGGCCCCCAGGAAGCCCAGCAGGGGCCGCAGGAGACGAGATCCCAGGAGGCGGAGCAACAGCAGCGAGAGGGGCGTGGGGAGGCTGAGCAGCAGGACCGCCAGGGCGCTGTGAACCAGGGCTGGAGGGTGGGGGAGGGGCTCAGGCAAAGATAGACTGCAAGGGGAGGCAGTGCCCAATGAACCCCCTTCCTTGGCAAGGAGCCACTCCCTACCAGGATTCAGGGTGCCCCCCCACCCTCTCACTCACTGACCAGATAGGAGATCCCCTGGTGGGGCTGGAACTGGGGCCTGGATGCAGACACGGCTGTCGATCTGGTAAAGCAGGGCTGGGCACAGCAGAGCGAACTGACGAGGGGTCAGAGGAGCAGCGGGGCTCAGGCCAAAGTTGACCAGCAGCTGGGAGCCATTCAGACACTAGGAGAGTTGAGTTGGGAGTCATACATTCAGCTGTGGCTCCGATGTGCCCTTCTACCCCCTGGCCTCCTGGGTCTCCCAGGCCCCCTCTCTCTCGCCACCACCCCTATCTCCCCATCTCCCCCACCACCACCTCTGTGCATCCGGGAGGGACTGGGGGACAGGTACAGGTACTCAGTATGTGTTAATTAATGACTATTCAAATAATCCAATGCAAATATTCAAAACAATTTCCTCCCTGCCGAGCACCTGATGATTTCACTGATTTAATCATGGAGTTGGTTGGACAACTAGAGTTCTCCAGTCCAGATTCTTAGAAGGGAAAAACAAAAAGCTGTAAAGCTATCCAACCTTCCTCTCAACAGTGCTGTCACTTGTTTACCCAGCCTTGGCTTGAGCGCTTCCTGCTATGGGGGCTCACTCTCCGGGCCTGCTCCAGGCCGAGCGCTGGCTGCCCTCCGGTGGATGTGGAACAAGACCGCTGTCAGCTCTCTGCAGGGCTCTCCAGACAGCCAGCCCCACAGCCTCCCCTGGGCTGCTTCTCTGGTGTCTCCAGTGTGACACCTAAGCTGGGACAGCAAACCCTAAGCCCACATCTGGGTTGCCCTGGCCAGTGTTGCTCAGTTTTTAGAGTCAGCCCTGAAACCAAAGGGTCTCAGGTTTGATTCCCAGCCCAGATGGGGGGCACGTGGGAAGCAACCAATTGATATATCCCTCTCACATTGATGAATGTTTCTCTCTCCCACCCTCCTCCCTCCGACTCTCTAAAAATCAATGGAAAAATATCCCTGAGTGAGGATTAACAACAACAAAAAAGACCACATCTGGATTTTTAAAAAAGGACTGTATTAAATTATTGAATCTTTATCCCCGGCTGGGTAGCTAGTTGTTGAGTGTCATCCCGATACACCAAAGTTGCAGGTTCGATCCCCAGTCGGAGCATATACCAGAATCAACCAATGAATGCTCTAAATAAGTGAAACACGGTGGATGCGGGGTGCGTGGATGTGGAAGAGGGGATAGATGATGAGGGGGGGGGGGAAAGTGGAACAACCAATTGATGTTTCTAAAAATCACTAAGTAAATAAAAAAATGTTTAAAGTACTGACTCTTTAAATATTTTATCCCATGGCGCCTGCCCCCTCTGCAGAGATCATCAGACTCACGTCCTCATTCCGATGGTCGGCCAGTGAATGGTCCAGCAGCAGGAGCCTGTGGAACAGGTCCAGGCCCGAGGGGGCTGGCCCGTGGGGTGGGGGGTGGGCCTTTGGTTCCTCAAGGTCACCCCACCCTGAGGGGCCCAGAGGCAGCTCTGCCCAGACGTCCACGTTCAATTTGGGGTCCTGTGGCCTGGATGGATGGGATAGAGAATCAGACGCCCGGCCCTGGCCAGTTCTGCCCAGTGGCTGAGGGGTCAGCCTGGACGGAAGCGTCCTGCTCAGGTCTGATCCCTGGTCAGGGGCATGTATCTGGGTCGCAGGTTTTGATCCCCGGCCTGGCCATGGCCCGGGTGAGAGACAAGCAATCCATGTGTCTCTCACATCTGTTTCTCTTTCTCTCTCCACTCCCTCCCTCCCTTCCATCTCTAAAAACCAATGAAAAAAATACCCTCGGGTGAGGCTTTGAAGGAAAAAAGTCAGTCGGATACCCGTGTTCTCTGAGAAATCCCACTGGAGACACTACCAGGGAGTGTAGAGGAAGAGGGAAGACCAGCCCTGGCTGGAGTTCCTGGGACCCAGAAACCGTAAAACATCAGTGCTGGGAGGATCTGAGAATGGTCCGCTTATAGGAACCTGGGGCCTGGGCGTGACAGGAAGTGGGAGTCGTGGAACAGCCAAAAACACTGCAAATTGGGAGTCAAGTCAGCCTGGAGACATGGAGCTTTGGGGCTAAAAACAAGGAATTGAAGGGCATAGGAATTTGGGAAGGAGAGACTGAGAAGGCAATAGAGGCAGAAGAAGCCTTAAGGGGTCCGTTTCTGAACCATCTGTAGCCTCAGAAATCTTCATTAGGAAGCAGAAGTATGCAACTACAGAGTGAGAGCTGGGCGTGGGACTGGGCTGGGGAAGGGGTGAGTACCTATGTGTGCCGTTGTCTCGCGCGGGGGGTGCAGGCCGGCCAGCTGGAGGCCCGTGCTGTCCCAGGCGCAGCCCCTGCACTTGGCCGAGCCCCAGGCTGCGGAGGAGCCTGGCCAGGCCACCCGCGGTCAGCGTGCCGTTCTCCCCATACAGGTCAAACAGCTGGGCCAGGTAGTGGTTCTGCTCCAGCTCCGCAGGGCCCAGGCTGGGGGCCGAGCCCCCTGCCCAGCTCAAGGCCACACACACACACAAGCCAGTCAGCAGGTGACTCGTCGGGGGCCCCATGGTTGGGAGGAACTGGTCAGAGGCTCTGGTTCCAGCTTCTAGTCCCCCCGGAACATGCTGAGGACTGAGCCCTGGAAGGACAAGGAGGAAGGGTCGCTGCTCCTGCTCTGCTGCTCGGCTCGGGGCCAGAGGGGACCCCTCCCTCCTCACGCAGCCCCCACTCCCGCCTCCTTTCTCCCTCCCCATTGTCTCCAGCTGAAGCAGCCTCTCCTCTCCTTGGCCAGTTCCTAGAACACCTTCTTTGACTCAAAGTGCTCCCCTCACCTGACCCAGAGCTGGCAGCCTATTCCCTGGCCCCTAAGCCTTGCCCCACCTTTGTCCCCCCTGCCCCCCCAGAGGCTCACCGAAGAGCCTCGTCACCTTAGGTCCCCGTCAGGCCTTGTGGGCACCGAGAGGCTCCTGAGCCAGTCGGGAGGGGGCCAGAGGGCTCAGCCTCCAGGCTCCCAGGTGGAATAGAGGCCACGTCAGATGGAAGGCGGGATGGACAAGCCCCCCCTCTTAGCCCACCTGCCTTGGGGCGGGGTCAGGGGTGGGGCAAGGGTGGGAAGGCTCACATGGTAGAGGAGTTAATGGTTCACTGGTCTCTTGGGTGGGGTCAAAGGTCAGTCTCTGCTGGGGCCCCCAGTAGGGAGGGGCCACCCTCTGCCCCTGGAAGAGCCACATGGCTAAGGAGAATCTGGGCCTGGTCTTTTCTCCTAAATACTCTCCCCTCCAACCAGTGGGCACTCTGTGAGCCTTTCCCTGCATACGCTCTCCCCCACCTACCTCACATCTGGCTCTGGGCTTCATGCATCGCCCCCCAGCCCCACGTTCCCTGGGGAAGTTGCACCCAGCTGTTCCCGAACTGGAGAGGAGGGTGAAGCAGCAGCTTAAGTAGCAGCCCAGGTGCAAGGGAAAGGCATTGTTTTTTGCAATTCCCCACCCGAGAGAGCAAGTGCCAGAGCGCCGGAATCAATGGCCACGCGAGGGAAGCTCTGCTGGGGAGAGGGAAGAAGTATCTGGCTCCCCTCTGATGTCTGACCTGCCTCAAAATCAGGGGAGCAGTCTGACGGGGGTGATTGGCCCAAGGGGTGAAGGTTGGTATTACCTGAGAGCAGGAGACAGAAAGGACGCCCAGAGGAAGGGGGACACAGCCTTCTGGGTTCCAGCTGTGAGGGGGGATAGGCAGGCAGGCGGACAAGGGTCACCTGCAGGGAGGGGGCAGGGGAGGGACACTACCTTAAAGGGGCAGACCTGCTTTGCCGGGGCCTCCTTGCCGGTAAGCTAGCTCCTCTCCACCTCCGAGGGCACTTCCCAAGTGCCCAGCTGCTCACCTTGTCGCTTCCCCACAAAAAAGCAAAGGAGTCTAGCACAGAGCAGTGACATTTATTGGGAAGAAGGGATCAGTTAGATTTCCACATCACATATGTACAGGACACAGACCATAACTCATTTCTAAAGGGAGGAGGGCAGGCAGGGCCCTGCATCCCAGGGCACAGGCAGCTTCCGCTGGACCAAGGGGTGAGTGTGGGGAAGGCCACTCCTCACCACCCCTGCAGTGAAGTTTAGTGGCTAAAATATCGCTACCTATTCCTTCCCACCCCCGAGCTAGCAGCCCAGGAGGGGCTGTGTTCTCTAGCAGACGCTCGGGTTATGGTCAGTGGTGGGGAGGGAGGAACTGTCTTGCTATCTCTTGCTGCTTCTCCGGGTTTCTTTGCCGTTACTGACAGGGTTGTTGGAGGGGCCTGGAGGGCCGGCCGGGGCGTGGTTGGGCTGGCTCCGGGTGATCCGGGTGCTGGTGGGGTGGGAAGGAGTGTGCGGGGGATGAGGGCCGCCTCCAGGACCTGGCGGGGCGCTCAGTCCATTCCCGTTCTGGCTCTCAGAGGCTGTGGTGGGAGAAGGGGAGAAACACAGGAATCAGAGAACCAAGGTCGGAGAGGGGGTATCCCCAGGGCTTCCCCCCAAACCCCAGTATTGAAGCCAGCACAACTGCACATTCATGTCAACGGGGCCGAGTGCAACGAATGTGGGCTGTGCGAATGGAGCCCCAGGAAAGACTGTCGGGTTAGAAGCTGCTACATGAATTCTAGTATGATGTTTTTCTCTGTTATTCATCTTGGTATCACTGGGAGTCAGACCTAGAATTAGCTATTTAGTTCTAGGCTCAAACACCCCTGACAAAATGCCCCTGAACCAAAAGTGCCTGTGAAACTGGAAAAGCATGGCAAGGGGAAGGGCCTGACGTTTCTGTGTTGTAAGAAGGATCTTTAAGAAAAACACACACAACACAATAAACCCCATACCTGCTCTCCCCACAGAGCACACCCGACTGAATCTGCCCTTCTTTTGCCTCTGCTACTTGTTTCTTTTCTTTCTTTCTTTTTTAAAAATATATTTTATTGATTTTTTTTACAGAGAGGAAGAGAGAGAGATAGAGTTAGATACATCGGTGAGAGAGAATCATTGATCAGTTGCCTCATGCACACCCCCGACCAGAATCGAACCTGGGACCTTTCAGTCCGCAGGCTGATGCTCTATCCACTGAGCCAAACCGGTTTGGCTGCTATTTGTTTCTTTAGCTCTTTCCTTCTGTAGCTCACTACTACCGCCATAACTTCCTAAATAAACTGTAACTTCCTAAATGCGAACAGTAGGTCCTTGGGTTGCCACACGTTCCTACGACACAATGTAACATTTTCGCAGTAAGTCAGAACCCACCTACATAAGCACCCAGGTCACTCACATGGAGCACACACACAGCAGTAATGAAGTGAAACAGTAAAAAAAAATGTAAAAGAAAGGTAACCATTCCTGACCTTTACTTGTGGTAAATAAATAAGAAGAAACATTTTGACGTGTATATACTTACGTCAAAATGATGGACTTTTTTTTTAAACAAATAAATGGGAAATGGAGACGTAACCATGAAACAAGGTATGTCAAGTCTGACGTAACCGAGGACTGGCCTGGTGTGTGTCACAATGACACACGTTCTCTTTGGAAAATACAGATAAGAATGAGAAAAAAAGCCCCAGCCAGTTTGGCTTGGTGGATAGAGCGTCGGCCTGCGGACGGAAGGGTCCGGGTTCAGTTCCAGCCAAGGGCACATGCCAGGGTTTCAGGCTTGAGCCCCAGTAGGCGGCGTGCAGGAGGCAGCTGATCGATGATTCTATCTCTCTCCCTCTCCCTTCCTCTCTGAAATCAATAAAAATATTCAAAAAATAATAATAATTATTGATTTTTTTACAGAGAGGAAGAGAGAGGGAGAGAGAGTTAGAAACATCGATGAGAATCATCGATCAGTTGCCTCTTGCACACCCCCTACTGGGGATGTGCCTGCAACCAAGGTACATGCCCTTGACCAGAATGGAACCCGGGACCTTTCAGTCCGCAGGCCAATGCTCTATCCACTGAGCCAAACCGGTTTCGGCAATAAAAATATATATTTTTTTAAAAGAATAAGGAAAAACATTGTTACACATTCTCACCCCACCTCTCCCTGTGTGTGTGTGTGTGTGTGTGTGTGTGTGTGTACACGCGTGCGAGATGACTTCCTGGTGCTCCTAAAGCTGTGCATATCACTATCATTGCACTCATGGTGTATTATAATCATCGTCTGTGTGACTATCTCCTTTTCCCCCCAAAAATATATTTTTATTAATTTTAGAGAAGAAGGAAGAGGAAGAGAGAGATAGAAACATCACTGGTGAGAGAGAATCATTGATCGGCTGCCTCCTGCACGCCCCATCCTGGGGATCGAGCTCACAACCCAGGCATGTGCCCTGATTGGGAACTGAACAGAGAGACCTCCTGGTTTATAGATTGATGTTCAACCACTGAGCTATACGGGCCAGGCAACCATCTCCTTCATAGACTACAAGCTCCTAAAGGCAGGTGCTGTTTTATTTATTCCTTGGCGTCCCTCATCTGTAAGTTTGTTACATGAAGGCAGGTGTCTGCCTCTCACGTACTTAGGGCACTATGAACGCTAATGGGGTAGAAGTTACAGGCTAGTGCTTCTCAGACCACATTCCTGTTGAACTCTACTTTACCAGACTAAGATATAATTAATATTATATAATGAAAAAATAATATTATTTCCTCGATTCACAGAAAACATTTGGAGAGTGTATTGAAAGTCAAAGGTAAGTTTTAAGGCCAGACATGCTTTTTGTTAAGCTTTTTGTATCGACTGGAAGAGGACAAAGTGGATAAACATCTGGCAAAGAATACCTGAGCTTACATGTACCATAATTAAAATGCTTTTATGGAGAGTAGGATATATGTAATAGTCATATTTTCAGTTAAAACCATGGATGTCCATGGGCGTTAATTTCTGTGGTGGAATTAAACGTTGCTATTTCATAGGGTTTCTAAAAAACAACCTTGGTGGTTCTGACACAAACAATTCTGAAAAAAACATGGTAACTGGGGATGCAGACACAAAGGGGGAAGGGCTGAGGCAGCCTGAAGCCTCGTGTCACAGGGAGAAAGCTGGTGCACAGATGGGAGACACGATAGAGCCGAACACTCGGGGAGCAGTGGGGTCAGCTGAGAGAGGATCGGGAGGGAGAACAGAGCAGTGAAAACTGAGGAGAAGCCACACCAGATGGAGGTGGTGTGTTTGGGAATGATTCTAGCTAAACGCTGACGACGAGGAGCAGTAAGGTTTTTCACCACGGAGATTTACAAAAGAACCGGGAGAACCCCAAAACGCAGGGGCCTGAAGTACACGAGATGGAAGCATCATCATCCCAGGCCTAGAAGGGCAGCAGGGCCCTCAGTTTCAGAAGCTGTGCGGAGTGTGCTCTGTGTTGAGTCATTCAAGAAGTGTTGTGTATTAGAACGGGGGGACACATCAAAGCGAGCAGGAGAAAAGGGCAGAATCTGCCAGATGAGGAGCAGAGAAGAACAAGCTGGGATGAAGGCGCTCAGTCTTTGTGGACAAACTGTTCACACGTTTGCCTTGGAGTGCTGGTGGCAAGAGTGTACCGAGAGCTCCACCAGTCACAGAAACAGGTCCCCAACTAGACCTTTCCCCACGGAGGTGTGCAAGAGAACTGGGAGGAACACTGGGTGTAAGGGGATAGATAGAGAAGAGAGGTTTGGGAGAGGGAGAAGGCTGGTAGGGAAGGAACAGGTTTACCTGGAGAAACAGCAGGGGGTCCGGTGGTAGGCTGGGGAGCTGCAGGGCTGCTGTCGTTCTGCACCTGAAGGTACAAATTAAACTCAGGCCTTTCCTCCTACCAGGCTTCTCGGCTTGGCCTGCCTGCCCTGCCCGCCCGCCCCCACATCATGGCCCTGGGACTCACCGCCTTGTTGGGTGTTTGCTGGGTGCTGTACTCTGGGTTGGGCTCACTGAAGTTAGGAACCTCAGAATAAACCATACAGAATCTGCAAGGAGAGAAAGTGGCCACCGCTTCAGACCCCTCCCCTGGGCCAGTGCTGGAGGCCTCCGGAAGGTACAGCTAGAGGGCGTGGACTGTGCGTGCTGCCTCACGCTGCCTTCTTGCAAACCTTAAATTTCCCCTCTTGGCCTGCTGCTTCTACATCCCCAAACCCAAGAGTACTTACTCTCCAATCTTCTGAAGATCACCCCCACGACCAGTGTACAATGTCAGACAGCCTTTGAACACTGAAGCGTACCTGTGGGGGCACAACATGCAGGACTCAGAATACTCAGAAGAGACTTACGGGGGCTGTTACCCAGCTGACTGTTACTGCCCTGGGACAGCCAGCTGGCTTACCCTTTGGTGAGCCGGATGATGTCCCCAGGCTGGATCAGGTTGCCCACGTCGTCCCACACGGAGATATTGATGCTGCCAGTTTTGTCTGCCACTTTGCAGGTCCGAACTTCGTGACCGTCCTTTGTCTTGGTCACTCGGCCTGGCGGGAACAGATAAACAGAGTGGGGAGTGTTCAGAAGGATGAGATCTAGAGGTATTGACTAATTGGTGGGGTGAGAGAAAAGTACAAACAGGGCAAAGCGAAGTCTCTGGGGCAGGCTGGGGTGCGGGTGGCGCCACGGAGAGGGTGCTGCGTGGAAGGAGGCCCCGAGGCTTGGATCTGGCAAGAGTTGCATAGATCAGGGCAACTCTCTGGGCTGGAGTCTAGGAGAGCGATTGGGCGTGCGTGAGCCACGTTTTGGGGTGCTCCCAGGGAGCAAATTAAGAACGGAGGTGATGTTCTTCCCTTTCTACCCCCCCTCCCCAACTCTGAGAACCCTCACAGAGGGTCCGCGGCCCCAGCATAGCCACCTGTCTCCAGCACAATGAAGATGAGGTTCAGGTTCTTGAGCCCGGGCTTGATATCCTTCACGAAGGTCTCCGTCGTCATGCTGCCTGAGCCTCGGAACCCCACTGGAAGGTGGAAAAAGGGATGAAGACTCATCGCTTGGAGCCCTCGCCCCCATGCTCCACTTCCCAAGGGCTGCCTGCCACACTCGCCTGGAGTCAGGCAGCCTCAAGCCCTCTACCTCTTCTAAAAGGTTAGAAATGAACTTTCCCGGGGGCCTCCAACTTCACGATCAGATTTTCGGGGGGGTCTCTGAATAGGCTGCTTGGGCGTCGGAATGCCCCTTCCCGGGATGCTCTTTCAGTCTCCAGTCCCGAGGTGTGGGAACCGACAGAGAGGAGGGGAGGGAACCCGGGGCAGAGCCAGAGAATAGAATCTTGGTTCCTAAACCTTCCCGAACCCTCACCCGGACAACTCGGGACTCGGTTCGTCCCCTCCCCCACCCCCGCCCCCAGCCCACCACCCACCAGGCTGACCGCAGTGTACGCTGCCGAGCCGCCCGCAGGGGGAGCCACAGGCCCCCGCGGCCGCCGGATGCAGCTCGATGGAACGCGGGAGTGCGGGCATTCCCGGAAGTTTCCCTTGGCCTCCTCCGACCAATGAGCGCCGCCCTGGCGCGCCTCACGCCCCGCCACTGGCCCCCGCCCAGCCAATCGGGACTCGAGATTCACGCGCCGGGAAGGGGGCGTGTTCCGGGTATTAAAGGAGCCTGGGAGCTGACGGGCTCGGCAGGGAGGAAAAGAGACCACCAGGGGGCTCCTCGGGCTCCAGCGTCCCTAGGAGAGGACACTTAGGATCTGAGGTTTTGTTTCTCCCCCAGCCGCGACAGTGGAAAAAGGAGCCAGGGTTGTGGAATGCTGTGGACAAAAGACCGAAATCTGACCCAGCGCTTCACTTCTTTTTTTCTGACAATCATTAAACATGTAATTCCATTCTGCAGAAGAGCAAACGGAAATTGTATAAAAAGCAGTGCCTAGCACACAGCAGCCAGTTTCCTCCTCTTCTCCCACTGCTCTAACTCTCATCTTTATTCTTGATTTGGGGCCCTTCATTTTTAATGGACTTGGTCAGGGTGCCTAGGACAAGTGGCATTCACACTACAGACAGTAGGTAGATTCACCACTTCGAAAGAAATGGGACCTCGGGAGAGAGCAAACTTTGCATTAGGTTCTCTCAGTTTGAAAGGCACTTGTTTCTAATGCTATCTCACTCATCTCAGGGTCCTCCCAGTGACTGAAAAGAGGAGGTCCAAGCCTTTAGTTTCCTTTGGAACTTATTAGATAATCAACAAAACGTAGTTAGCTCAGTAATGTGTATAAACCAATTACACACACCGAGTGGCCATATTATTATGATCTCTGAACGCATAATAATCTGGCCACTCAGTGTATATAATATGCGAATTGTCCCTGCGATCAGGAGTTCCACTAGCAGGCAGGCCGGCCAACTGCCCATGTCCCCTCCCCCTGGCCAGGCTGGCAGGACCCCACCCATGCACAAAGTCATGCACTGGGCTTCTAATACACACACACACACACACACACACACATACATGCACACTCTCGTGGCTAGGTAGCTCAGTTGGTTAGGGCAGTGGTTGGCAAACTGCGGCTCTCGAGCCACATGTGGCTCTTTGGCCCCTTGAATGTGGCTCTTCCACAAAATACCGCGGCCTGGGCAAGTCTATTTTGAAGAAGTTTTAAAAAATTTGGCTCTCAAAAGAAATTTCAGCTGAAACTAGTTTTGCTCAGCGGTAGAAATTTCTTTTGGTCTGCGGACTAAAAGGTCCCAGGTTCGATTCTGGTCAAGGGCATGTACCTTGGTTGCGGGCACATCCCCAGTAGGGAGTTGTGCAAGAGGCAGCTGATCAATGATTCTCTCTCATTGATGTTTCTAACTCTCTATCCCTCCCTCTCTTCCTCTCTGTAAAAAAATCAATGAAATATATATATATTTTTTAAAAAAATTTCAGTCGTACTGTTGATATTTGGCTCTGTTGATTAATGAGTTTGCCAACCACTGGGTTAGGGCATTGACTTGATAAACCAAGGTTGAGAGTTCAATCCTAAGTCAGGGCACATACAAGAAGCAACCAATAAATGCATAAATAAGTGGAACAAATGGATGTTTCTCTCTAAAAAAAAAAAGAATTTTAAAAACAAACCAACTACAAACGCATATATGTGCAATACCATTTGCTTAGCGAATATCCATAACAAACACTCTTTAATATCAGATCAGTCTAAGAGTCCATGTTCTTGTAATGCCTTCGCTTTATTAATCCCTACTTTTTTCTAGAGCGCTTTAGGCTCCACCTGGACCTTTCTGGGAGTTGGTTCTCTCCCGCCCACCCTTGGTGTTGTGTCCTAAGGAAACCAAACCACAGCCCAGGAGGAGGGGCATTTAATCTCTCTTCTCTCCCCTAAGATGTTTCAGGAGATCCTGCTAGTGTTCAGAGAGCCGACGTGGATGTGGCAGGAGTGCGGCCAGGCGAGAGCCTGGCACCCCGCCGGACACCCCAGATCAAAGCTCTGCGCTCCCCCCTTCCCCACCCCTCGGTCGGTCGCCCTGTTGACACAGTATCTGCTCCCATGACTATGAGTCACGGAGTCGGGAGCTTCTGGGAAGCCGATCAGGGCTTTGGGAGCCAGGGGGGCCCGGCAGACAGCAGCTCGCACCGCGGGTCAGCCAACGCCAGGCCGCGGCTTCCGGCCACGGACACGTGCCCCCTCTAAAGCCAAGGCTCGCCCTCCGGGGCCGGCGGCCTCGGGACACGCCCCGAGGGCCCCCCTGGGAAGCGCCTAGCGTTCCCCTCCCCAATGGCTGTCCAGTCCTCGCAGGAACGACCAGGACTTCCGGTCTGGAGCCGCGGCCCGGGAGCCCGCCTTCCGCTACGTCGGCCGCTCGCAGCGCCCCGTCTCCGTTTGAGTTAAAACAAAGGGGCGGGGCTTGATGACGAGCTTCCGCCGGTTGCGTAGCAGCGGTGGGCGGGGCCAGGGGCCGTCTCTCCCCGCGGCGAGTGGTCGGAGCCTTCCTCCCTCTCCTTCCCTTCCCCGTCCCCTCCCAGGAACGGCCGGGACGCGGCGCCGGGGCTGTCCCGTGGCCGCGGCGGCCTCCGCTCCCGCCGGGCTGCGGTACGGAGAGGCCGGCCGCTTCCAGGGCGGTGCGTACTGCGCCTGCGCGGCTCCCTCACAGGCTGCGGGGAGGGAGGGAGGGGGCGACGTCCCAGGGGCATCGGGACCGGGGTCCGAGATGTTGGAGGTCGGGGTTGGGGATGGGAGTCCAGAGGAAAAATGGAGGCAGGGAGGAGTCGGGAGGTGAGACGGGGGCGCGGGAGGGTGGGGGGTGGGGAGGTCTAGCGGAGCCGGGAGAGGTGCGGAGGGGGCCTGGGCGGGCCGGAGGACCGGGAGGAGGGGATGTGGGGGAGCAACGTGGTGTTTAAATGGGCGATGATTGACGGGCCGGGAGGAGAAGGGAGCATTCTGGGGGCCAGCCAGGGCCGGGGCGGCGGAACCTGAACCCCCGCCCTCGGAGCGCCATAGCTTGGCTGGTCTCCCGCGCCTTGTCTTTGGCAGCCTCGTCTTCCTCCTTCATTCCTTCCCCCCTCCCCACTCCCCCTCCTGCACGGAGGAATCTCGCATTCCTTACATCCCTGGCCTGGGCTTTTGGCCCAGCCCTCTTCTCAGGCTTCACACACCGGAAAGCCTCCCCCAGCGTCGGGCACGGGGGAGATGGAGGATGGGGAGGAGGGAGCTGCAGGAGGAGCACAAAGCTGGCGGGGGGTGGGGGGGCGAGGGTGTTTGCCTGAGGGTCTGAAAGTCACCGTCCCCATCCAGAAACGGGCTCCGTCCCGCCTCATAGCCAATGTGGCTGTTGATGTGCACGGTTCTCGGAGGCCGGGCTGTGATAGGAGAGTCGCATCCCTTCTATACAGGTGGTTTTAGAATCCGACAATAGGGGAGAAGCGGCGAGTGCTCCGCTTCCTGGCTGGTCGTTTTCTCCCAAATAGGAATGGAGTTGACTGGTGGTGGGGAATCTGAGTGATGCAATACTGTTACTACCCTGTGTGTCCAGCTGACTTTGTGGCTGGGCCTGGTTTCCCGTAATTGAAAAGAAGAAAAAAGCTGCTTTTCCAGCATTTCCTCACTGGTCCTCACACTCTAAATTTAGTTTGCATTCTGTTGCTACGAGAGCCTTACCCGAGGATAGCAGTGCTTAGTGTGCGTTCACATTTATTATGTCGTTTGATTTTTCATGGGAGGTAGGTGAGGCAGGTCATCGTTTTCCCTACTCGACAGAAGGGTTACGTGGCTTGGTTAAAAGTCGTACAGTTGGCAAAGCTGGGACCAGAACCTCAGTCTCCCGATTCCTGGCCCTTCTCTCAGTTGAAAAATCCCATTTTGTTCTGGCCAAGGGAGAATCAAAGTAGGATTGATTTTCCCAACATGGGCAACTATTTGCTTGCTGAGACGAACTTGTCACTAGAAGACTGAGCAGAGCCGACCACACTGGTTCCTGGCAGCATATCATTCATATATATTATTTATTTTTTTAAAGAGAGGAAGGGAGAAGGATAGAGAGAAACATCAATGAGAGAGAAACATCAATCAGCTGCCTCCTACACACCTCCTACTGGGGATATTCCCACAACCAAGGTACATGCCCTTGACCGGAATCGAGCCTAGGACCTTTTAGTCCGCAGGCCGATGCTCCATCCACTGAGCCAAACCGGTTAGGGCATGGCAGCATTTCTTGAGGTACAGGGGCATATGCCAGACTGTGGGGAATAAGGTATTGTCAAAAGGGAAGAGCGTTATACCCCCTGTATTGTGGATGGCAGAAACGTATCAATTTACCCCACCCCCCAACACAGGGGAGAGAAAGTGTGGTCTGGCATTTCACCTTTATCTCTTAGCATAAAAACTAATGAGTATGTGTACCAGACTTAGAAGATGAAATGGGCCTCTTTTTTATTTTATTTTATTGATTTTTTTTACAGAGAGGAAGGGAGAGAGATGGAGAGCCAGAAATGTCGATGAAACATTGACCAGCTTGCCTCTTGTACACCCCCTACTGGGGATGTGCCCGCAACCAAGGTACGTGCCCTTGACCGGACTCGAACCTGGGACCTTTCAGTCTGCAGACCGACGCTCTACCGCTGAGCCAAACCGGCTTTGGCAAAATGGCCCTCTTTTTATGTATAAAAATCATCATCCTATTCCTTTTTAACACAGTTCTTAACCTCATGATGGTGAGGAAAGTAGTTTGAATGGTTGATATTCTCCTGCACAGTGTTGAATAGCTCTCTGTCATTCATCTGAAACCTAGTCTCCCTCTACTTGGTTTCACAATTATATTTTATTTTTTATATTTTAAATATATTTCTTTATTGATTTCAGAAAGGAAGGGAGAGAGACAGAAACATCAATGATAAGAGAGAATCACTGATCGGCTGCTTCCTGCATGCCCCCTACTGGGGATCGAGCCCGCAACCTAGACATGTGCCCTTGGCCGGAATCGAACCCAGGACCCTTCAGTTTTCAGGCCGACGCTCTATCCACTGAGCC